CGACCGTCACTTTCACACTGATGGTGAGTCGCTTTCAAAACGCCCCTCGTCCAACCTTGATGATTAGCTTTAATGAATTCTAGAAGAGATTACCATTACCCCTGGGATTTGTTGTATTAAGGTCCTGACCTAGAATATTCACAAAGAGAGACGGGCAGAGATAGAGATCGAGACACAAAAATTAGGTCTTTTAAAGTGAAGCTTATGCTTCAATTTTTGATGAAGTAGTGAGGGATGATGGGTAGGCTTCGTGAGTCATGTTTCGGGGAGTAAGGACACTGAAACAGCGAGTAGGAAATACTAAAAATGAAATGACAGTGACAGAGTTGTATTGATAATAAATAATAATGACGTGTGGAATAGAGCCGGAATGGCGCAGTGAAAAGTGACCTTGCAAAGGACGTGAACTGCAAAAACGAGTGAAGAAATAGACTAATTCAAAACAGGAAAAAAAAAACTGTCCCATCCACTTCAAAATCAATCACTCACCGTGGAAAATATTGTATATGCGGCACCTTAAAGTTTGTCTGCTGTACGTGAGCGTCAGATGTCCTCAGACGTCCTGCTGTCAGTCTTTAATATCTCAATCTCTCAGATTAATACACATAGTTTGATCTCGGGCTCTGGCACTGTCACCGGTCTCCCAAGACTGAGGAAATTACCCAGAATGCTCTGTTCTCACTGTAATCTTATAAAGTAGAGGTGCCCCAAAGGTGACTGTGATAAATGTCATCATTCCCATCATGCAGTGGGTTCAAATAAATCTGAAGGTCACATGTGTGTAATCTGATCTCTAGGTACATGCACTTCAGCCAAGAGGAACTTGTTGCTTGATCAACATGCAGGAAGTTCAAAGGAATGACAGCCAGAGCAGTGAACGGCACTGGGATTTGATTGGTCTGATTAGTAGGACTGGATCTCTTCCCAGTGTCCGGCTCATCACACAAACACACACACACACACACATGCACAAACACACACACACGCTGCTAAACCTTTCAGCACTTTTAACAGCAAAGGCAGATTTACCCCGTCCACATTTGTCACACATTGTATTTCCTCTTGCTTTTGTCAGTATCTGTCCCTCACATGCTGCTTTCAAGACTTTGAAGAATCCGGAGCGACTCGGCCTCTTTTTGATAGATCATTGATCTCTCTCTGAGAAGCACTTACTGTAGATCAGTAGCTAAGGAAGATCACATCCCTCTCAAAGGACATGCTAAATGCTCACTGTCTCTTTCTCTTGACGAACAGATGATATGCTCCATTAGTTTTCACAGAAACAAATTATATTCACAGCAGACACAGAAAGACCAGTTGTCAAGTCAAAAATTAAATAAGAGTAAGTACATTTGGCAGTAAGTTGTGTTTTTATTAGTAAAATGTAACAACAAAAATGTGTTCTAAATATCATATTGTTCTTAATATTTCTGCAGTAAATAGTACATATTATGCACATTTTATAAATGTATATAAGATATCTAGATTACATTACTTACTACAGTACCAGATTTGCCAAAATGTGCCGTACATTAATTTTGAGCATTAAGAATAAAATAATATAATTTATAAATACTGTAATATATTTTCATAAATAATGTTTTTATTTTTATTGAAAATATAATTACATATATAAATATATATTCAACATTATTAAAATCATATATAATATATAAGTAATATTATATATTTTATACATATTTTTATATGCTACCATTTAAAAGCATCATTGTACATATGTTTAAATTTAAATATTTAAGAAATCTATGCTGTGCAGTATCCACATGCCGCTCTCTGCGAGATGCGAGTGCAAGGCTGATAGATGTCCCTCTAGAAAATGTGATAAATATGCGTTCTGTGTGAACGGCTTGGTTTCAGTTTTGACGTAAACAACATCTTCTCCACACTGATGCTCTCGTTTAATCAATATAGGCTAGTATTTTCCATGAATTTCCCTATAGCTGATTGCTCACTCAAAGAGCTTTATTTTCAACTACCGTCTGAAGAGTCTATTTTATCGTCTTTCTCTGAGCAGCATCTCATTTTATATACAAATTGACTCAGTGTTTGAGCACCAGACGGTGAAAAAGGTTCTTGTTTTCGGCAGGATTCAACTTAGTCTGAGAATTAGCCGTCAAGTGTGTTCTGCAGCACACAGATTTGTGGGGGTGAAATGTTTAAATGAAAGCAGCTGCAAATGCTCACTGATGGCTGATTGTTAAAGAGTGTCCTCACAACAACTCCCAAAAGCATCCGACAGTTTGATTCTTGCAGCTGAGGACACTTGTTGATGTAATGAAAGCTAAATGGATGAAGGGTGTCATGGATGCAAACACACACCGCTCTGATTCTTCATGGACTTTCATTCATCTTATTATCATTCTGCATGTGACTTTTCTGGAAAACTTTTGCGTCAAAAGCATAAAACCGATTACTGATCATCATACAAATGTATTAACTGGTACCCGCCAACAAAGTCCATTTTCTCCTCTGGTTTACATAATTTCTTGAATCTCTTTCTTGTCATTCCTTTTTCATCCTCTGAGAGAGAGAGAGAGAGAGAGAGAGAGAGAGAGAATGAAAGAGAGGAACAGAGAAAGAGAGAACGTGTTTGGTGGTTCTTTCTCTCATTTGTCAGTCACAGTAGATGGCGGCTCTGATTAAGTTGCTCTAATTGGACTCTGCTTCAGATTCCACGGGTGAACAATGGCTCGCTTTGATGAAGGAGTCGTGTTGTGTTTTGTGCCGTCGTTTCTCAATCTGAGAGAAATCGTTATGCCATTAGCGACGGATCACATGCCAAGAGCCATGGATACAAATAACTTTAAGTCAAAGAAGTAGCAAAGCAAATGACTTGAAATCTCTCAGGTCGAATAAACCTTAAGAACCAGAGTGTGATGAAATGCTTTCAACTGCTGTAACAAGCTTTTAAAACATCTGTGTGAGGTGTTTCAAGGACTTAAGATGCGATCTGCCCTTAACCCATATACTCTGATTTCATTTCTCTGTATTTTACTCTTTTGCATGAGCAGAATAACAGAATGTCCCTGTTTTGAGACCAGAGGGGCTGCAACTGCTCCAACACTCAACACACAGATGATGCCTTTACCTAACAGATGCATTCATTACATCCACATCATTTCTCATATGAAGCCACACTTCACACTGAACCACCTCACCCCTCAGTGTAGCAGTGACATGCAACATTACGACAAACGTGTCAAAAGTATCTTAAGATCACCGACTCAGTTTGAAACCAAACCGTTTCTTTGCACAAGCAACATCCCTGACGTGACATTTTAGCACCCAGACGTGATCATCTTTTTAGCAGGTGACAAAATGAAAGTCGTGAAAATCTCCAGCCTCATTAAAGGGTTCGACATGTTTGAAAAGATTCTGTGAAAAGATCCAGCAGGACGTCAGTCAGTAGAGCAGCAGTAATGGAAAAGACTCATTAGCGGCACGAGGGGATGTTGAGAGGTTCTAAAAGATGCTGTTCCTGTTCTGATACTGTAGATCACATGATATAAAACAGTACGTGAACAAGATATTAATAATCATATATCCTGAACAGAATTTCCAGCTGTATAAAGCATAAAGCCAGAGACTATTGAGCCAGTATGTCCAACACAATCTCATGACAATTCGTAACTATTTAACATTTTGGCAAATTGAAATTTGTATAAATTTGTACAATTTAATTCGCCCCAGTGAATTATGTTAATGTTTATGACCTTCATGCTTGCTTTTTTCTAAAATTGCATGAAATTCCCTGCTCATAAAATAGTTACGTTCTCCTGTGGGATCGGCTTGGTATGATAAAAAAAAAGTCAAATTTAGCATACTAATTAAATAATTAAATTAAATATAATATACGTTAAAGGAATATAGTTAAGTGCAAACTCATTGTGATGTTTTCGGACACTTAATTGCATGTTACTTACAATTTAGCGAAAAAGTATAATAGTTTAAATTTATATTAAATGCAATTAGCTAATTAGCTTTTTTGACCCACTTAAGTAGGATTTGAGTACATCTTTATATGTAATTTTATAATGACTTCTACTGCTGAATCTACTGACAAGCATTTATGATAAACTAAATTAGCAAAAGTGCTACATTTTCCTCAAAACCCTTTACATTTAATTATAGATTTAGTTTATTGGTTTATATTTATAGGTAGATTCAGAGTCCTAGAAAACCATGCATGCTTAAGCTGGCCGCTGTGTTTTTGGAACATGCTAGCTGGTCTAAGATGGTCATTAGCTGCTGCAAACTAGCAGACTGACTGCCATGATCCAAAACACAGAAAAGGGCTTAAGCTGGATTTACCAGGAGGTGAAAATGAGAATGAAAGAAATTCAAAAAGAAAATCGCTGAAATGTACTTTGAATATTGAGAGGGTCTTAACCCGATTAGCAAATAGAGCAAATGCTTCCCAGGGAGTGTTTAAGAGAGTAAGGGAACATGATAATATTACATGCACACTCAAATACACACTTACACGCAAACACACACATTTAGAAGGGAAGTGAACAGGCGGGGGAGAGACAGACAGAAGCCCAGAGAGATTGATGGCTATATTCAAATGAATACAGAGAACTGACAGGAACCCAATGGAGCGAAACACTGGCACAGAGAGAGTCTGATGTGAGCCAGTCCGGCACAAGCACACTCACACTTAAAACTGCGTACAGTAGCACACACATCAATACAGCAACAAATGCACACTTTAACACCACACACGTGGTGTGTGCTCTAATTCCCTAGACAAAGTGCAACCACAAACGGCCTAAAATGCGTTTAGAATCAATAAACGCAAAACCAAGTTGCTACTGACACTCCTTCACCTCTACACGAGCACGAAACAAGAAGTCACACAGAACCAGCTGGCAGTACAAATGGAACAATGAAAAATTCCATGAGAAGAACAGTCATTGCCCGTGTCAAAAGCATCACTGAAGCCAGACAAAGCAGAGACATTTCACTGCCCATTTTACCTAATTTAGGGAGGGAATATTTGACTTTGAAGTAATCCTGGTAAAACTGCAGGAGTCTCTTGGTGATGTGCAGAGCGTAGTCCCCCGATCCGCTCTGGATGGCGTCAGGTCTGGCGTACAGCCGAATCTACAACAACGCAACATAAGAAGAGAGAGAATAAAAGTCAAACTGTGTCAGGAGCTGAATGAACTCTTGGAACTGTACGACTCTGGGTTTATTCCTAACCTGAATTCCCTCAAGGACAACGGTTTTGGACTTGAAAGATTAAGTTCCAAGAGTAATCCATGGTGGATATATCTGCCAAATGCCTTCATCTGGCTTGTGAATTTTGCATTTGTCTTTCAAGTGTACTTTTCTCCACCCCTCATGCAGACAGTCTTGTTCCATCCAGTTTTCGATACTTGTTTTGTTCAAATCAAAGTTTGTAATTTTTTTATATACCTCATTGCTGGTTGGTTTGATACATGGCTTAATCTTTTATTGAACAACTCATTTAAAATCCTTATAGATTGGTGAAAAGAAAATACTTCCAGTACTTACAATACTGAAAAAAACAGGCAGCCATTTCTACTGGAGTTATGTCGCTTTAAATGAACTGACTGCACTTTCATAAACCATAAATGTTATTGGACTGTAGCTGCTGAAAACCTCCTCCATATATTTGTTTAAAATTTGATTATTTCCATCAGTTGTATAACAGGACATGTGTCCTTGGAAATAAATTAGATTTCAATGAAAAAGCAAAGACAAAGCATTTGCATTATTGCAAGATTCTTTATTCTGTGTGTGAGAAGGAGAAAGAGAGATAGGGGAGAGAACAAGTGTGAAAGAGAAAGTGTGTGAGGTGTGGCTCTGTGGGAAATGTATTCCCAGAGTAAAAATGATCTTGGACTCTTTTAGCCGAAGGCTGATGCACGGCACGGCTTTCTGAACGGGCATCCATCTAGTCAGAATGAATGTCCTCCTACACTAACAGAGTTACAGTGCAAAACAAGCAGCAGGAAAGGCTTTGTTTCAGAGCCTGGCAGCAATACACATTGAATTATGTGTTGTTTACCTCACATGTTGCTGCCGTATCGATCAGCTCTATGTCTGATATAAAGATGAATGGGCGGCACTTAGGGCTGTGGAAATGATTCAAAGCTCAATCAAATCAATGTGATTTTAAAACAACCTGTAATTAGACAAAGCACTCGAGTTGACAATCAAGAGACGCTTCATTAATCAGCCGGTGTGAAGATTGTTATATCCGACTCCAGTGTTGACTGCTTCATTTGTTTGTTTGTTTGGTTTTGTTGAAGGCAGCTTGACTGAGACTTAAATGGGGTTAATTGAACTTTAATAGAGAGTCTCTCCATGAGCTGCTGCTCGACATTGATCTGCTAACAAGCTCTTTCTGATGAAAAGATGAAGCTTAAGTCAACACATTCTGCACTTGACTTGATATTAACAACCTGTTGAATTATTATTCTATATACGTCTGTATGTGAGGGATACTTCAGGCACTTAACCAGCATAAATCAGTCTGGATCAGGATGGACATTAATGCTGGTATAGGCTGGTATTTTAATTTTGAAACCTACATAGACATTTCAAAGCATTTGTATTCTACAGCTAAAACCATAATGTTGTCCATTAAATGCACTGAACATGCTTTTTGATCAGGCTGAGTAATTTCATGAATATGTAAAGAGCAAATTTAGTATAGTGGTGTTGAATTTTAATTAGATATTAAAAGAACATTTGTCATTTTAATGATAAGACAAATAAAAATTGACTGACATAAAACCAGTAGATTTAATAATGGCTGCTAGAGTGTTATGAATTAAATATGCTTCTTGAAATTCATCACATAACCACGTTCTCTTATTTAACAAATACAAGACAGATGTAGTGTAAAAGGGATATCTGGTCAGAAAAGGAAAAGTATGTTGAGTGTTAGTAAGCCTGCTTGTTTCTGTGAGAAATCGTGGGTTTATATCAAATATATATCAACAAATCAGCATATTAGAATGATTTCTGAAGGATCATGTAACACTGGAGTAATGACTGTTCAGAAGCTTTGCATCACTGGAATAAATTTCATTTTAAAATATATTAAAATAGAAAACAGTTATTTTACATTGATATTACTGTTGTTACTATATATTTCATCAAATAAATGCAGTCTTGGTGAGCATTACAGGGAGCACATGCAACAGCAGTTCTATTGCAGTTAAGATTCTATCTTATATGCATCATTACTCCTGTAAACATACAGATCAGTATGTTGGCTCCGAATGCATCAATAACTGTATATGCTTCATAAATGCAAGGTTGTATAGTTAAAATTCATGGTTACATTTCACCACTACTATCTGGAGCCTTAATAAATGTATTACATAATGTCCAACCAACTGCTGCAGAGTCTGACATGATTTTTACACGTGTGTGTGTGTGGTAGATCAGTGTTTCCCCATAAACCCAGAGTAATAACTCCACTCTCCTCTCCAACGTTCCTCTCCCACGATCTTTCCTCTCGCTCCGCACAGCCGAATCTTTATGATGAATGGTGCGAGGGGCTACCCTGCCGCTTTAATGTGATTGATGGGGGATGCTAGCGTGCGGCTAACCACTACAAGCCGCAGTGTGGGTATAAGTGCCCCAGATAGAAGCACACACTACAGTCAGCAGTGATATAAAGAAGAGCGCGGTCATGCTGAAGGAGATCAGATTAATTACACTAATACACTAATATGAGGAGGAGGCCGGCCAAGGGCACACAGCAGGAACCGCTGAGGAAGCCGTCAGGAAGTGTCTAATATGACAACAGGGCTTTGACTGAACGTGATATCAGTAACACGACGCATAAACCATGTCTCTCTGTTGGCAGACAGATGATGCTGCTTAGACTGTGAGGACTCCGTGCCAAAAAATAACATTTAAGTGCATGTGATGAAAGTGATACAGCGAACATTATTTTAATGGCTAAACTTTACATAAAACATGTTCATACATGACAGATAAAGCCTGGAAAAGTTTGTCATGAACAAAATCCTGGACATAAGCAAAAGTGGACATGATTATTATCCTTTTAAAAGCAATTATATGGCTTTGTAGACACTAGACTAATGTTAGTGGAGACAACCCTTTCCATTTACTTTATATCCACTTTGTAACCATTATGTATTGACTATACAGACTTACTGTAAGCTTCATATAAACAAATCCACTGTGAGTAAGATAGCTCTGTTCCAAAACTTGCTGTCTTGGCAGCTGCCTTACAAGGGAGCATCCTAAACGAGATACTCAACTAGAGTACGTAAACAACAGTTCTTTACGTATGAGACTCATCTCACAATTGATATCAATAGACTCTGATGTTAGCATTTTGCTAAGCTATTAAATACATTAATGAACATAAATATGCATAGTTCACGCAAATATTGGATAATCAGTTTTTAATTAAACTACTTTATCCATACTTTTCAGTATTTAATTAAATATATTTACTATTTTTATATATATTTAATATATATATATTACTATAAATATTACACTACCAAAAGTATGAGGTCAGTAAGATTTTGTAATGTTTTGCTTATTGACCCCAAACTTTGGGTAGCATATATTTTATAAGTATATATTGATTTCTGTCTACTTATTTGCTGTTTTGGATTGATTTATTACTGAACTCTCTGTGCAATGCATTCTGGGATTGTTTTCACTCTGAATCATTCATGAAAGGCTGCTTTAGAATTTGGCAAATGATGCATCTTAAAGGCAGAATATCTCTTGGAAAAGCATCTGTGATACCTTAAAAAGCTTCTTACTATGTTTTAGAAAAGAGTTCTGGAATAATAAAATCTCTGTTTACTGTTTCTAACTTTGAATTTTGGGGGCTTAAAATGTGACTCACCACAACTCCATTGTCTGTAACTGCTTCTCTGTAGGTGAAGTTGCACACGGCCCAGGCAAGATAGTACGTCGACATGCGGGGCGTCCTGGAGAAATGGTTGGTCACCCATCCGTCCTCGTCAGACGTTGAGGCCTCCACTGGCATGTTGGACAGCGACTGGTACGAGCTCTCGTGTTTCAGACTCACTCTGAATGTGGCTTTATAGATGGGCTCATCGAAACACGGAAAGGCCTTTCTAGCGTGAGTCGGTGAGAACTGCGTCACTGCAAGAAATCTGCAGAATAACACCAGGAATAAGAACATGAGAGAGAGTTGAGATGAAAAAATCTCTGGAAAAATATATGCTATTTACATAGCCCAGGAGTCTACAGTGAAAAGTCATTTCACCTGAACTTCATTAAACTGGTTGTCACATGACTTTCCTGAATTCAAATTAGCTCTGACTGCCATCCCTGAACTCATCGCTGTGCATTTTTATCTCACTAATGAGCTTCCTGATGTGAAGAGGGACAAAACCGATAGTTTTTTTAACCACGGCAACTAAATCACATCAAATGTCAACATATAAATCACACCAGAATTACTACACAGAAATAATGATATATCTGTCACAGCTGTAAACAATAAACCCATCTGTGACAGTCAACAAATTGAGAGCGTGAACCAATTTAGATGACAAGGAAATAATAAAAAGCTGTCAAATTCATCTTATATATAGTTGGATTGGTTAATTTTAAGTGAATCATTATTAATCTACATTTAGACACATTTACCACTCAGAATCACATCTGAGTCTGAATATCAGAGTCTGGACCATAAACAGCCATGGAAATGTTCTATTAAAGTTAGAGAGCGGGAAAAGCAGTGAGCTGCATTCCAGAAAGCTGCATTAATGATATCAAAGCCCGACTCAAACCTCATGGCTTTGGCCACCCACAGCATCCCGACTCAAACCTCATGGCTTTGGCCACCCACAGCATGACCAGCAGACGGGGGAGGAGGGTTTTCTGCTTCTGCAGTTCTTTTTAATTTCATTAGCAGCCATTCATGCAGTAACAGTCTATAATGAATCTATAATGTCCCATCTGTTTACCTCCTCTTTGTTCTATTCAGTATTTATAGATGCTAGTACCATTTAAACATCTTAACACTATTTACAGACCACAGTTGAGATGCAGATGCAGTCAGGAGGTGATGAGAAATCAGACGACTAATAGACACACAGGAGGAGATTCTACAGGGATATCAGAGTGAAAAACTCACAGTTTGAGTTTGTTGTCTAATGTGACACGGCTGTACCTGAAAATGTGTGAAGGATGAAGGAAAAACTGTTAAATCTCCAAAAAGACCAGACGACCAGATGTCGGTTTGAAGTGAACTAACAACACGGTTTGTGTGCCCACATCTAACTACATAAACACAGGTATTTTCTCAATCCTGCATTCACAAATACTGTATATACGAGCAGCCAGCAGGCGCTGATTACACTAAACTCAATGATCTTGGGTTTGATAAAGAATCGTTACACTGACGTCTTAACATGCTGTTTTACAGCTAAAAGGAGGAAGAAGGTCCAGCAGTTATTGCAAAAACAGAAAGGCAACTGGTGGATGGACAATGTTTATGAAGTGAGTCCATGAAAGCGATCCCTTCAGGGTAAAACAAGGTTTAAAAATGTCTCAAATGTAGGAAAACCTGGGGCAAAGATTCAAACATAAGCCATTTTTCCTTCAGAGGACATAGAGTCAGAAGCCTCAAATCAAGAAATAGATATTTAGTGCTGTCTAACTGAAATCATTCTGAATATAATGTTGTAAATGGCTGTAAGACACTGTAATCAATGCACATATAAACTTCTGATAATCAAAGGCTCATCTTGTCAAGAGTTTGTTTGGTAATCAAACACATGACGATGAAGATGAAGTTCCAACAGACTTTAATAATCCACAAGTCAGATTCCACAAAGAGAACCAGTTCAACACAACTCTACATGAACTTAACACCCAACACTGATCTCAAACTGAACAGAACTTAAATAGTGAAGATAACGAGACACACACCCCTGAACATAATGATGAAATCAAATGAATAGCCATGACAACTAAAAAGGAGCAGGAAACAGTGCAAAGCACAGAGTCCATGAGGGAGTGTCAGATCGCCCCACTCACGGAAGGCATGACTTCATGCCGTAAAAATAGAGATGAGGCAGTGAGTAGGATGAGGAGATGGCAAAGGAATGGCACAAAGGCAGAGCAATGAAGGAGAAGGTTCTGGAGGAGGACGGACAACCGGGAGAAGGATGACAAACAAAATCCAGGGAGGTGCAGGTGGAGGAAATTACCAGGGTGGAGCCTTGAGCACGAGGAGCCGGAGGAGTGGAATCCCATAGCGATGCAGACCAAGGCGGAGCCGGAGGGATGGTGGAGCCAGTAGGATAACAGGCCATGGTAGAGACAAGGGAGCTAGGAGCCAAGGCGGAGCCTCTGGGTTGAAGGGCCGAGGTGGAGTCCAGGACTCGGAGGCCGAAGGAGGAGTCCAGGGATATTCACTCCAAGGCAGAGCTGGAGACTAGAAGCCCCGAGGCAAGACAAGGCTCCAGGATGGTGCTGACTGAGGCTGAGCTGAGGGGCTTACAGGAACCAGCGGAGACAGGGCAGCAGAACTGGTAGATATATGTACTGGAAGCTCCTGACACCTGACACCAAGATGAATTCATTCTGTGTGTAAACACACTTGGCAATAAAGCTCTTTCTTATTCTGATTCTATATAGAGAGGAGGCAGGAGAGGGAGCTTGGGAGGGAAGGAGGAGATTCAGGAGGGTCATGACTGAACGGAACCAGCGGGAAGACAGATGATATAGGACAATACATGAAATTATCCACTTCAACATTATCCAAAATGCTTCCAGAAGCCAGTTGTAGCTCACCCCCAGTGGCAAGAGTGTGGTCAGGGCTTCTTTCCATCCCCTTGTACTCCACTACTACTCCTTCCGGCACATGCGGTGTTGCCGGCTCACACAGATGTGTCAATCAGCTCGGGCTCCAGGGCGATGGCAGACTCAGTCGCTTCTTCTTGCACTGGCTCTTCAGTCGCGGAGGGCTCAGGCAGACGCTCCATGTAGTTTGGTGATGGCTGGCTGGGCTCTGGGTTGGAAGTGGGGTTGGCGTCGTCATAAACTGTGCAGGTTGATCTACATGAAACCAGCACCCACTCCACATATTCAGCGAAGCTCCTTCGAGGACCAGCTGCACTTGTGTGGTGGTATTCAGGCCAGCTTGCAGGAACAAGCAAAGACAGTCATCCGGGAAGGTGGTCTGATGTGCAAGACCCAGGAATTCATCCACATGCTCCTGGAGGGAATGATTCATAGCTAAAAAATAAACAAAAAACACTGACAAACCGAAAATAAAATGAGATTTAGGCATGCCTCTTCTTGTTTACTTCCTTGGGTCAGGTCACAAGTTTGTTTGGTAATCAAACGCACAATGATGAAGATGAAGTTCCAACAGATTTTAATAATCCACAAAGAGAACCAGTCCAACACAAATCTACATGAACTCCCAACACTGATCTCAAACTGAACAGAACTTAAATAGTGAAGATAACGAGACACACACCCCTGAACATAATGATGAACTCAAATGAATAACCATGACAGTCCATGAGGGTTTGACACATCTTAAAGAGCTGAATAATATGATACTGGGTGATCTGACGGTTTTCAAACATTGAAATGAATTGTCTTAGTTTAAACATTGGCACATTTGAACCAAATACTTAAAAAACCATTTGACTTGAGCGCTGCCTTTGATACTGTCTCACATAAGATACTTCTCGACAGGTTAGCTTCTGTTGGGATTACTGGCACTCCTCTGTCTTGGTTTAGGTCGTATCTTTCTGGACGCACTCAGCGTATTCAATTAAAAAGTTTCAGATCTAGAACATCTACAGTCACCACTGGTGTTCCCCAGGGTTCTGTTTTGGGCCCGCTTCTTTTCATTATTTATATACTCCCTCTTGGTTATATTTTGAGGAAACATGGTATTCATTTTCATTGTTATGCGGATGACACCCAACTTTACCTGTCTGCCAAACCCACTGGTTCTTTTCCTCCACCATCTTTGTCCAGCTGTTTAGCTGAAATTAAAGATTGGCTTTCAGCTAACTTCCTGAAGTTAAATTGGAACAAAACTGAGGCCCTACTTGTTGGCACTAGATCTGTTTTGTCTAAATCTAATAGTTTTTCCTTGTACATTGACAATAATGCAATCTGTCCTTCCTCTCAGGTTAAAAGTTTGGGTGTTATCATGGATAGCACACTGTCTTTTGAAACTCAAATTAATAATATCACACTGGCTGCATATTTCCACTTGCGTAATATTAACCGTCTCCGTCCTTTTCTCTCAACCAATAATACAGCAGTTCTTGTTCACGCACTAGTCACTTCACGTATAGACTACTGTAATGCCCTTCTCACTGGTGTTCCCTCTAAATTGCTACGTAAGCTCCAGTTGGTCCAGAATTCTGCAGCTCGTGTTCTTTCTAGAACACCCTCTACTGAGCACATTTCTCCAGTTCTTCAGCAATTGCACTGGCTTCCAGTAAAGTATCGAGTTGAATTCAAGATCTTGCTACTTACTTACAAGGCACTTCATAATCTTGCACCCCAATACCTTACTCAACTTCTTCATGTTTACACTCCTTCACGTGCTCTCAGATCCTCATCTTTAATTTCTCTTGTGGTACCTCGGATTCGACTAACTACCATGGGTGCCAGATCTTTTAGCTATGCTGCCCCCCGCCTATGGAACTCACTTCCACCTGATATTCGCAACAGCGATTGCCTGCTGACTTTTAAAACGCGTCTTAAGACATATCTTTTTATACAGGCTTTCTTATAATGTTTTATTGAGTCTTTACTGCACTTTATCTGTATATGTGGAGTGTTTGTTGTGTGTTTTTTATTGTGTAGTGATTTGTATTTATTTTTATCTTTGCTTGCTTGTGAGGTGACCTTGGGTGTTTTGAAAGGCGCCATTAAATAAAATGCATTATTATTATTATTATTATTATTATTAAATACCTTAATCTAATCTAATCTAATCTCACTTTTTATATATTGATGCATTATGGTAATAACTGCTTAAATAGTTAAGATAATGTTGTATAAGAGGGTTATTTTGATGTAAATCTAACTCTCTGTAGATTTATGAATGTTTAGCACTGTGCTGGAAAACTTTCCATGATCATGTGCGAGTCTCAGTGTCTGAAAGTAAATGAGTCACTGAGCACAGCGTCAGACACAGCTGCGATTTCAGTACCCAGAGGTTTGACCAGCATTCATTCAGATCTGTGTGACCTCTGACCTCCCTAAAAACTGAGGAACAGTGACTGTCTGAGACAGAGATGTAAAAATGACATGCAGACAGTAATGTTAGACTAGGAGTTATAGGTGAACCGTAACCTGGATTTAAATCTGTTAATACTATGAATGAAGAACTGGAGATTAGATCTTGTTTATTTCAACACATGCTGTAATAATATTTGGAAAACAGCTAAATTTTTAGCCTTGGCAGTTGTGTTTGCAAAAGGTATCACCTCCATGTTGTACTTGACCCTTTACTGAAATCTGGACATCATGTGTCATTGTGACAATACATTGTTAGGAAACATTTGTGAGAACACCAATAAATTAAAGCCAACCTCACAAAACTTACTATGGCAACCAGAGTTTCATCCAAAATGCAATGGTTGCTACTGTTATTAGTCTCCATTTATATAAGAAAATCCCATATTCATTCATTATGGTTTTGAAGTAGCGAACATTACTATTGAAACTATTAGATTTTGATGTACTACTAGAAACACTAGTAGAAATACTAGTCAGAAGAATAAATTAAGACAATTACAAAACAAGACTTGTTAGTGTTATACTAAGATGTCAATAAACAACATATCAGTGTCAGGCAGCATCAACATAACATGATTTGCACACAATAATATATCACTGACCAATGAATCTCACAAGAATGAATATCCACTGTGATCCTTAAAGACGTCTGTGCTTATTTTCATTCTCCCCTCAAAAAATTACCATTAAAACCATATTTTTTTGTATACCACAGTTAACCACACTGTGGTAGGTAAAAATGTGGTAAATTGGTGACAGTAGTTATACACTGTTTGAATGAGATCCCATATTCATTATGGTTTTACAGTTTGGTTACCATGGTACATTTCTGTGAGATAATTAATTAGCCAAAAAGTGCTTAAATGCGCATATAGACGTAAGGCAGCATCAACACTTCCCATTGTAACAGCAGAGCATTCTAACAACATCTGGAAGAGTTTGATTCGGACACTGAAGCGCTTTTACCTTTTTTCTCCATTCAGCACGTACGAGCTGCGGAAGAAGCCCAGGAGCTCGTGCTCAATGTGCGCGTGAAAAGTTATGTTGATCTTGTAAGTTCTGAGAGGCTTCATCTCTCTGTGCAGCGCGATCACATACACCTGCTTGGGCTGGTAGTGGAAGCGACGCTGGATCCTCATGGCGCCCGCTTTCTTACTGTCCGAATACACCAGCACCTTCTCCACCTCCAGCCGGTCCGTGTGCAGCACGATGAACTTCGTGGAGCGGACGCATTCAAACTCAATGTTCACCTCGCCGGAGAAGGTGAAGTTCTCCATGTACACGGACAGTCGGAGGTCGTAGTGGCGGGGGCGCAGGGTGGACGGTAAGCGCAGATGTCTCCAGGGCTGCTGGCCGTCTTCTGAGTCTCTGTGACTGATGTTTCCGTCCCGGGACTGTTTCCACTTACTGTTGCTGGAGCCGTTCGCTGCCAGACCCCCGCTGCTCTCCGCGGCGCATCTCTCGAAGCTGACGCTGAGCGTGATTGCGATGGCCGTGACTACGATGAGGGCGAGGATGGAGATGGCGAAGCCCAGCACAAGTTTCTTATTCACCGTGATGTGCTGCTCGGTCGTCCGGGGCCGGACAACCACGCTGTCGGCCCACTGATCGGACAGAGCCCGTCCGTTCCTCATGCTCGCGTCCTCGATCCCCATTATATGACGAATCTGATGTGTTTTATATTCATGATCAGCCTCCGTTCGTGCGGTGCAGCTTCAAACTGCAGAGGATGAGCCGGCGCACTGATTTAAAGGCGAAAAATTCGGCGAAGATCCAGCGAAACGCGCAGAGCTTCAAATAGATTGAAAAAACTGATGATCGATGACCTCGAGACTAGATTCGCGTGAATCAGAAGTTCTTTCGGTCAGATGCTGGAGCTCATCGAGTCCTGCCGCACATCCATTTCTGCTCTGATTTCAGTCTGATGTGGATGAAGGTCCAGCACCTGCTTCCTGATCAATCGCGAGAATGTTGATCAATCCTCATCCCTGTTTCTCTCTCTTTCTCATGCGTCCTTTCTCTCCCAGTCAGTGGGCTAGTGTGCTCTCTCACTTTCTCTCTCTCTCTCTCTATTAGTAGTAGTAGTCTAGTAATTCCGTCTAAATCTTCCCACTGAGCAAAGACACGTCCAAAAGACGTCAATTTAACGTCTTTGTCGTACGTTCAAAAGACGTCCACTGAGGAGCCAGAATGAAAGTTTTTGCGACGTGTTTTAGACGTCTTTTTAGCGTTCAGTATTAAGGGCCCAAGCTCACGCCAATGGTTGGTTGATTCTCAAACAATCCTTGAACCACAAAGCCATTTTTTTTTTCAGGAGGAATCAAACTAAAAATAGGTTACCTATAGTAGTTTCTACATACTAATAGTTGAAGATTTATACAGTATTTTTAATATATTTAAAACGACACATTTCAGCTTTAATGAGTTTGACCATTTTTACTGCTTAAATAACTACCCTGATTTTTTTTTTTTAATCACAAGGCTTATACAGATCTTAAGCCTGAAAAGATTATATGTAGATTAATATCTTCCATTGTTCCATAAATTATTAATAAAATTGATTTAATGAAATCCTGAGAATCTTTCAAACTTAACGTGATTTCTGTGGAAGTAGCACCAATGCAAGGTATATAAAACATAAAATAATAATATTATTTCATTAGTTCAGATTATCATTAACTTTATAATTTTTTTACTCTTATTTTAGCATTTGATATTTTATTTGAGCAGTTTTAAGATTATACAGAATATAATCTTAATTTAATAAACAGAGTAAAGTGAGGCAAAAATGTCTGTTTGTTATTTGTTTACTTAATTAAACTTTTCACTAAAGTAAATATATAAAAATCACAAAAATCATACTTATTATTTTACTTGTCTGTGGCCATGCACAACTGTAACGCACAGAGCATCAGTCATTAGGCATTAATCACATTATACAGTGTACTGGATGATACAGAGTCATTTTCAGAATTGTGTTGGTCATTTTAATTCACATATCTTCTTTCTTGTTTGACCTGAATGAATTTTGACTATTATTTACCCTTTATCTTCTTTTCCAGGTATCAAGATGATATCATTCACCACAGCAAATGCTTCTGCAGATGACAATGTGGCCTCATCGTTTGTAAGAGACCTTCATCCTGATGCTTCCAAGTTCTCCATCAGAAGTTCATTGCTGGTTTCAGGTGATTTTCAACAGTTGTTTGAGGTCCAGATATCTGAGCTGCCTCATGAATATCTTCTAATCTTGTATGTAATCTTGATAATGAAATACAGCAGTTGCTGAATTAATCTGTGCTTTAATGGTTTGGTTTAACCGACATTAAACTATAAATTATTGAATCTTGGCTTTTATTGTGTTATATTGAATGTGTGCCATTGATTGTTTGAGTTTCAATACAGAAAGCTTCAGACCACCAGCATAATTAAAATAAACATATTTAATGCAATTTAAATCTACAGTACATCATAAACCCTGAGAGGTCAAGTAAATATCTACAGCGGATCTAAAATATTCATAATTAATTATAACTAGTTATGATTAATTATTCATATTTCCCATGAGCTGATTCGTTACATTATTTTACTTGTCTGTAGCCATGCACAACTGTAACGCACAGAGCATCAGTCATTAGGCATTAATCACATTATACAGTGTACTGGATGATACAGAGTCATTTTCAGAATTGTGTTGGTCATTTTAATTCACATATCTTCTTTCTTGTTTGACCTGAATGAATTTTGACTATTATTTACCCTTTATCTTCTTTTCCAGGTATCAAGATGATATCATTCACCACAGCAAATGCTTCTGCAGATGACAATGTGGCCTCATCGTTTGTAAGAGACCTTCATCCTGATGCTTCCAAGTTCTCCATCAGAAGTTCATTGCTGGTTTCAGGTGATTTTCAACAGTTGTTTGAGGTCCAGATATCTGAGCTGCCTCATGAATATCTTCTAATCTTGTATGTAATCTTGATAATGAAATACAGCAGTTGCTGAATTAATCTGTGCTTTAATGGTTTGGTTTAACCGACATTAAACTATAAATTATTGAATCTTGGCTTTTATTGTGTTATATTGAATGTGTGCCATTGATTGTTTGAGTTTCAATACAGAAAGCTTCAGACCACCAGCATAATTAAAATAAACATATTTAATGCAATTTAAATCTACAGTACATCATAAATAATTGTAGATATGTAAGTAACATTATTGATGGGAAATATTTTCTGATGAATAAGAAAAAACTGAATTCAGAGGAGCAAGTATTGACCAAGTTTCCATGAGGACATCAACACTGGTCATGCTGCACTTTCTGAAAGAGATCAACATGATCTATCAATGTCCGTTTGTTGTCTGTGACTTGGTGTTGTTTCAGTTGTTTCTGTGCACTTTTATAACATGGTAAAAAATAATTGTGGGTACTCTTCTGCTTCCCAGGAGGTTTTGCTGGATTTCTGGGCAAGTGTGAGGATGAAGACTAATGAGGAACCGGAGGTTCCTCTTTGATCCTCATCAGTTATGACATGGTGAGTGTCATCTATTATGTTGTATTGTGAATAATATGATTTTGTTGATTTATCAACCTTCAAAAGCTTTCCACAAACCCACAAACACCTTCTATTACTTGAATCCCACTTTCACATCTCCCCTCCATATATTCCACCACTCATTTGTCTCAGTACATCTGTCATTGTTTCATAAAGGAAGACCAGTTGCGGCTTTTTGAATGAAGTGACGGCTCCAAACACCAAATAATATTCTCAATTTGCAGCCATTGGCATGGCTGGTTAAACAGCACAGCGAGAGGAGAGCCGTGAGCGTGTGAAAAGACCCTTGAAGCAGGGAGAGAGAAGGTGAGGTGGAAAGATGACGGGGATAAAGTGAAAAGGAGAAAGGAGGCTTCTAGTTCAACTGATTTTATTCACATTTGAAATTCTCTAAACTAGAACTGGCAGAAAATGCATTTAGATTCCAATCTGATCAAGATCCTCTATGCCCCTTTACCCCCAAATTAATTTAAAACCTATTCTTATGAAATAATGGGGCAGAGATGGAACGTCCTTAAATGATTGCGAGATCTTCGAGTCACATGAAAATGGAGGTGCACTTCAAGAGGAAAATAAGCAATTTCCATGTGGCATCTGAACACAAAAGCTTGTGTCATGGTGTGCAAATGTTGGTATAAGAATGGTATAAGTAATGTATGGTAGCCTACATTACAAAAAAAATTAAAAAATACAACAAAAAAAAAATATTACCCTGGTAAATGTTATTGCCATTGTAAAAACCTACAAACCTAGTTTGTAGAAGAACTTGAGCGACTCTCACAGGAGACTCATACAGTCACACTGTGCTGAAGATTCAGTAAACACTAGATACCTGATCCATGATCTCAACTCGTTATACTAGAGGATGATGGAGGTTTCCATTATCATCACACTTGCTCATAAATAACTGAAGCCTATTTTAAACAAGAGGAAACAACGTATCAATGTGACATAAGAGGTAACAAACGCTTTGCGACATTAAACTCACGCTTGAGTCGCTCCTGAAACGATCGACTCTTCTCTTTACAGCTCAAACGCAGTTCCTCGTGACAGCCGATGATTTATTGTCCATTCAGCAGCTTTTATCTCATCATCTTGACAAACTCAAACTCCTGATTTCCCAGGATCAAACTACGCTTAGAAATAAAGCAGCCAGGCAGGTTGAAAATGAACAATCGTTTGGTCTCCAGGGGCTCCAGGGGCTGAGTCCCGCTGTGTATTTCAGACTGTTACTGTATTCAGACCGACATCCAGATGCGATTTGCACAGGCCTTGATGGGATGATGATTTACATGGTCCCGCTGAGCGTCATATGAGGGAGATGATGAGAAAAGGGTCGTTCACACTGTTAATAGAGGAGCTTTGGAAAGAGCACATTGTCCCTGGTGTTTATGGACCAGAATTCCACAATGTTATTGTTTCCCTTGCAAAGTCATTTCAGCCCATTTCCATTAAATGAGCCATAAAACTTTATAGGTTATAATGTTCTTTACATTTAACAAGCAAACTGTGGTTTGAACCATAAACAGATACAACATCAAATGACGTGCTTGCTGAAACCTGTCTGTTTATGTGCAACATTCCCCGTAAACTGAAAAGTTTCACCAAACTCCCAGGGAGTCGCCACAAACAGGGATGATCTGTAAAATGTTTAGGCTGAGTATTTTCTCGTCATTCTCTCCGCTGATTAATTACTGTGATTTTCTCCACTGGTTGTCAAGGCAACAGCAGTGTTCTACGCTCTCAGCGCTGTTTGGGCTGAGAGTGTATATATATATGTATATATATGGTAAGTAAATATGGTAAATACAATGAAATATTTAAGTTGGAAAATAGCTAATATTTGAGCTATAATATATACAGTGGGTACGGAAAGTATTCAGACCCCCTTAAATTTTTCACTCTTTGTTATATTGCAGCCATTTGCTAAAATCATTTAAGTTCATTTTTTTTCCTCATTAATGTACACACAGCACACCATATTGACAGAAAAACACAGAATTGTTGACATCTTTGCAGATTTATTAAAAAAGAAAAACTGAAAAATGCTCAGTATTTAGTAGAAGCACCCATTTGATCTAATACAGCCATGAGTCTTTTTGGGAAAGATGCAACAAGTTTTTCACAACTGGATTTGGGGATCCTCTGCCATTCCTCCTTGCAAATCCTCTCCAGTTCTGGTCACTCAGACGCCCAGCCGCCCCCAAACACTG